ACAGTTGTACAACAGGCAAAAAGATAAAATATGAGATGATGAGATGATCCGTGATGAATTTATAAATGTACTGTTTATTCTGGGATTGTCCTAGAAACACCAGCCAGGGTTTGGTGAAAAGTTGTGACTGAGTCCAGCAACATAGGGTATGCAAATATATGAAAAGATATATAATGTGTCATGTTACCCATGAGGTTGTTTAGGATAGCATTAATTACCTCCAGTTAGGTTGTCTTTTTCATCTGAAGGAGTGGCCCTCAGATAGATGTACGACTTGTTCTTCTCCTGAAGAATTGCACTAGTGTCAATGGTCACAGCCTTATCCAAGGCTATCACCTCATAAGTAATAAAAAGACAGCCCCTGCAGAAAGGAGCATGTTTAATAAGCTATGGGACAGAGATCATTCTTCTCTCACACATGCATAAATCAGTCTTTTAATAATGTTACTTACCCCAAGACAACTGCGCCAGTTACTTTAGCAACTTTCCCTAAATGTCAGCGAAGAGGAAGATCTTTATTTTCAATGTGTTTATCGAAATTTATTGTACAAGATTGCTGATTTTGTCTAATAACTTACTTAAATCTTTCCATTGAAGCACTTTCTTCACACTAGGCGGCCCAGCTGTGCTCAGCCTCCGACAACGGATCCAGCGCAGAGCGGCTGCGGACATCCTTCCCATGTGTGCCCTCCCAGATGTGCGTGTGTTAACCAGACTGCTGTCCAACCTATCTGACAAAGTCACAGACGTGAGGACAGTGTCTGATAAGGCACATAACGGTATGTCAACGCAAAAAAGACCCGATAATTACATTTAATGTCATCATGTCAGTTTAAACACTTAGCAGTGCTAACATTTAACTCGTGACAGTGCTAATGGTAAACTAATCTAAAGCATTAATTTAATCAAAGACCATTAGCTAAACGTTAGCTAGCCACACAGGTGGGTGTGACTGACAGCTGGGCTAAAATTACTTGTGTAAATAACATAAACATCGGTAAGTCTCCGCCATAAATCCAAAGCTGGCATGAACACCCAAACGTAATCCGGGTGAAGCTAAATGAAGCCTTAGCTGCCACTAACTTGGTGGAGATTAGTTAGCATTTGGCTATGACTGTTCTATCTCTGTGCAAGGCATCCAAACGTATAACGGAGTAACCCGGTGGACATGTAGTGGATTAATGTCCATTTCTGATAAGCGATATTACCTTATTTATTGATGGACACGTTTTAAAAGAACTACGATAACGTCCTCCAAGACTGCAGCCGGTGTACATAAACACAACATAAATTTGTCCCACAAATAATACGTCATCCACTGCAACAGTTTTTTATTGACAGCTTTAGAGGTCCGGTGTGTGAACTGCAAGATTACGCAAAAACGACAGTGTAAAAAGTAAATATGTCACGGGGGAAAAGAGGAGGGGCGAGAGTAAGAGAGACATCAAATAAAGACGGTAATACTGTTACAATGCGATATTATAAAATCAAAAATGTTTATAGCCGCCTTGTTGCGGGAAGGATAAATTGTGGTGACATAAAGTTTAATCTCCATTCATGAAAATAGGGAAGTGTGGCTTCTTATTGGAGAATTGCAATTTATGGATGTGAAATTTGGCAATGAGTAAAAGCAAACTGATAAGAATAGATGAGTTAGAGGAGGGGTGTCAAATATAAGGCACAGGGGCCAGAAATAAGCTGGTGAAGACTCCAATCAGGCCTCACTGGACAGCTTTAGGAAATGCGAAGAGAGTCATAAAATTTTGACTTTTAATATAATTTTGTATCACAGATTTATCTTTACTGCTAAATACCTCCCATGTGGCCACACCAAAGTAATT